AGCTGCTGTTACAATTTCCTAACCCTAAGCCTTGCAGTTCGGGAGAGTTCTGAGAAAGCAGGGAGCCAGAGTCCTCCGCTTTAGTCACCACTAACCAACAGATACACGTCTTACATCATTCATCTTCAGGCCCCGCCCAGCAGAATCGCGAGCAAAACTCGTTGAGTTCAACCAAAAAAAGGGAGCAGCAAACAAAACTTTCAGAATCTCAACTAAAAACTTAGGCTGTCAACCAAAAAATTCTGACATGCACAAATAAAAGATTATGTTCTGAAAATAACTTTTACACTTCAAACAAAAATGAGTGATTTTACTTAAAAAAAAAAAAAAAAAAAAAAGAGGGAAAAAACAAAAAAAAAAGTTTGGTTTTTTTCTTTTTTTGNTGTACTTAAGTACAGTAACGAAGTACTTGTACTTCGTTACTTCCCACCACTGTTGTAATGCAGTTTGTTGTTTCAAACAGAACTCAAGAACTCACCACCTCCAGCTCCATGTTGTAGTGGCCGGCATATATAGCCACGCTTGGTGCAGTTGGAAAGACTCCATAGAGAAAAGCAAAATTGGATAAACTGGTGTGGTTCGGACTTGTGCTGTTCACCCCGACATCCAGGATGTCCACCATGTCTTTGCAGACCAACGGCATCACCAGGCTGGACCAGACAAACACCACATAATTACTAAAACACTAAACGCTTCCAGATGTTGCACTTTGTAGCTCGGTTTTAGATCTCCAAACTTTTCAGCTTATGTATACTTTACCCTGTAAAGATGACAGAGCCCAGAAGGGGGCAGTGTCAAGCATTTTCCAGGCCCAAAATGCCATTTTATAGGACAACCAAATAACTACATTAACTTCAGTTGTTATAAAATGCTGTATATATCAAACATGATTTAAAAGAAATTTCACTTTGTAATTCAATGCCTTGAAATTGGGTCTGTCTCTTTAAGAAGCTTCAGCTCTTTCTGAATCTCCGCCTTCAAGAAGTCATCCCAGCATGGCTCCTCGATTAACCCATTATTAACCCTGTTACCGACTCTTTGCAAGCCCATCACTTAATCACACGACCAGGGGCGCCGCCAAGAATCCTGGGCCTCATGACAAAAAATTAAATTCGGTCCCCCCCCACGCCTCCCACCCGTGCAACTACTGTTACAGTTTCTTGAGTCTATCTATTTGTTAAAGTTGTCACAATGTTGTGACTATGAGACAGATAATCTGAAAAAAATCAATCTCCTTCACCTCCTCGCTGAACTACTATTGTTAGCTAAAGTAATGCAACGTTCTGACCAAAAACAACCAATCAGAACCAGGAGGAGGGTCTTACTGTTGTTAATCAACCTCATTCACTCATTTCTAAATGTGCTAATGGCGGAGAAACAACTTATTGTTACAGGAAAACTTCATTGGTAGCTATGCAAACTAGACTGAGCATTCAGTTTGAATCTGCATAGCTCTGTGCTATGCTAGTTACAGCATAGCACAGAGCAAGGGGAAGGGAGGATGAGCAGCCACATGAGATTGTGATTGACAGCGCTAAAACCCACCTCCTGCCTCTGATTGGTTGTTTCTAGATAGCACGGGGAGAAAGTAGAGGAAATAATTTTTTCACAAATTATCTCTCATGCTACACTGTCACAACACAATGACAGTTAACAAATATGTAAAAAAAAATCTTTTTTATAAAAGTTAAATACTGCAGCTTTAATTTCAGTTAGAAGAGGACAGGTCAGGAGGGACGTGGCAACATACTGTATATCTATAATTTAAATGCAAGCCAAGGTAAAACTGTGTGGGCTGGCTGCAGTCCAGACAGGAGGCTGTTTTTTATTATCATTTTATAAAGATTGTTTGAATTTCTGTCAGCAACAAATACATTGTTTTTGTTGTGTAATTGTAAAAAGAGCAAAGACACAGAGAAATCCGTATAGATTCCCTGGAGTGATGCTAACTAGCTTGTCATTGGACATGGTGTTGCTCACCTTTTTCACTGGGACAGGGGGGTAAGAAGGTGTATGCTGGTATGGTGGTTAGAGCTGCTGCTGGCTGATTCGTCTGTTGTTAAGAGACGAGTCTCTTAAGAGGTACAGGTACAAGTTCAACATATGAATATCTTGGCATTTCTTTTCCTTAATTCATTAAATGCTATGGAGGCAAACAGTAATCTGTAGCTAAGTCAACTATGCTGAATGGTTGATAATCTCGCAGTCTACTCACCTCTCAGAGAAAAACTGTTACAAATTCACACTCTTGTCTTTTTCTATCTCTTATCTCTCTACTTTTTTGAAAACTTGACTTCATTATTTTTCTAGGCAGCATAGTGACTGCCACAGTCGTTCTTGTCTTATACTGACTGCTGCTGAAAACGTCACCGTCAAGTACGCCAAGCAGGAACAAACCATTTTCATGCAGATCCAGGAGGGGTGTTCAATACAAATGTAGATGTGCGCTTTTTGGTCTGGGAGGGGTAACATTTAATTTTTACTGCTAAAAATACACAATAACAGTAATAGACAGGGCCC